GTTGTCCTATTGTTCTAACCTGACTGATGCTCTTTCAGACATTAGGAAACAGGTGACATCTTCCCTTCCTCATCCAGCGACTGAACCACTTCACAACCTCCATCCAGGCGACTTCGTGGTGGTCAAAGACTTTCGGAGAAAGAACTGGCGCTCACGCAGGTGGCAAGGCCCCTACCAGGTGCTGCTCACAACCCACACTGCAGTGAAAATTGCTGAGAGAGCCACCTGGATCCACGCTAACCACTGCAAACATGTACTGGCTCCATCTGAACAGCCTACGCCTCCAGCTGAAATGACACACACTGATACTCCCACAGGTTGAGAATCACAGAGAGTGTCGTGTGATTAGCACATGAGCATTCTGCCACAACAGAATGTACGCCGTTACACTGCTCTCACCCAACTCCAATAGCAGGAAGAAATCCGCCTGACAACTGAAACCATGGACAGACCACGTCCATGGCGTTTCGATATCCAGGGCTTTGTGGCATCAGGGTCTCACTTTACATGATATTTGTGATTTCCTTGATAGTTGTTTTGCCCATTATTCTGCTAAGACGTATCCCTGTTGAAGTCTCAGATGATCTAATGAACTCCTCTTTCCCTACAGGACAAAATTACACCAGACACACACACTTGACTAGACACAAGAGAAGTTATTCAGGACACTTTGACCCGTACGGTGCTACTTGGGCCCCGTCATGGATAGAAAGGAACTTATGGTTTCAACACATAAATTAAAGTGTTCGCACGTCACTTAGCTCATCGTGTTTGGTCTGTCAAGGTTATAAGACTGCGCTGACTATTGTTTCTTTCCCTGATGATGGCTTGTGCAAATCCGAGGGAGGGAAAGGCAAGACAGTTTGCCCCCTAGACCGCGTTATTGTGCGCATATCCAGACAGACACATTGGCGGTATAACAGCACTCTATTCCGTACTTGCCCTGACATGTCAATTAAAACACCAAAACCACCACAACTATAGTAAGTTCCCACAGTCACTTAGACACAATGAGAATACATTTTTGCGACAGGCTTAGAATTGCTCAGTAGCTCAATGAAGGCTATGGGACTAACATATTGTGTGTTTTTGTTGAGTGTGGCTTCAGTTTGTTTGTCATCCCCAGCACTGCGCCCCCCCAACCCCCCAATACATTTTATCACCAGCCGCCACTGTATATATGCAAATATGGACTGTTATAAGCATGTAGGCAGGTATGGTATACGAATATGAGAATAAAAACAGTATGTGCTATATATGTATATATAAATGGGTAGTGTCACTGTTGTTTACTAAATAGCAGTATATTTACCTGTATCTATGATTAGTTTTCTACAGTCTTCCTCTTTTACTGTTTCAGGCAACTTGTCGGTAGACTATTACTGCAATCAAGCTGTGTCGTTTTACCTGCTTTTAAATCATCTTTATTTTGTTAACAGATGTTTTAATGGGATTCTTACCCTTGTGAACAGCAGTTTAAATTGTCTTATAAGGCTGTCATATCAATAAACTTGCCTAGTTTTAACTATAATGATGGGTACACAAGAATATTTTATATATGTGTGAACTTCTGCATACTGGTTCCACATGTCAAACAGCAACACAGCTGAGGAAGACCTTCAGGGCTAGCGCACATCAGGATATAAAAAGGGCCCATCATCCCACATAATCGCTGTGAAGATTGTCACAACACAATGGGAATCTCACAAGTGGAAGGCATTGACATCCAGAGGTGAAGTGTGTACAAAGGCAACCCATCCCTCACTTTGCAGTCGCAGGGACAGCTTTCTATTATTCTCTATTCTTTGCAGAGCACTTTTCATTTTAATTACAAGAAATTCAATTGTCCCCTTTTGTTTCACTGTGGGTCCCTGCCTCAGAGCAGATCACCCAGGTAACAGCAGAGGGAAAAAAGGAAAAATGCTTGAGCCATAGCAGGGTTAAAACTATGAAGCAGTCAAAGGGGCTAGTCATGAGCTAAAAGGGTAGAAACTTACACTGGTTCACATTTCCCTTAATGTTTAGCTTTAACCTTCAATGGCACATAGTGACACACACTTTTAAACTGTTAAAACATGGCACAGGACAAACAGGTGAGCCTGATGAGGGCAGGAAGTCCAGGGGGGAAACACACAAGGAGCAGAGACTACAAAATAAAACAGGAAACAGATGAACACGGAGGAACACTGAGAGGGACACAGGGTGAAGCACAGAGGAACACAGGAGAGGGACACAGAGACACAGAGAGTGACAAAGAGAGTGACACAGAGTGGGACACTGAGAGTGACACAGAGTGGGACACACAAAGGAACAGAGTGGGACACAGGGAGCAAAACTTAAAACACAATTCCAAACATAACAAAACATTGTCCATAATAGAAATGAAAACTCTCTTTTATAAAAGAGGTCCCTGCTTTATCTTTAAGAGATACCTGATAAACCTGCATGTGGATCAGATTAGGTTCAAGTTTGCCTGACAGTTTAACTTCAGGCACTTTGTATTGCCATTCTCAGCCATCACACTGTGGACAAATATCCCCAAGGTTCTAATAATGTTTTAGATCCTTGATCTTTCTCACTCGAGTGGCTGATAAAGCCTGAGTGCTTAGAGAATGAAGAACAGCCTCAATTCTTCAGGTCATGGTCTTCACAAGATGTTGGAATCATTCGTTTTTGAGTCTGGTCCATGTTGGCATGACTTTATTACATCATTTCTGTGACATTTCTACAATGATTTGTTAGTATTAAGGCTCCCAAAGTGCCAGGAAAACCTTTCTCAACACCTTTACACCACCACCATCACCACCAGCCTAGACTGTTGACACATAGCAGGATGAGTCCATGGATTTATGCTGCTGATGCCAAACTAAAATCTGCAACCTCAGCAGACTCTTCAGACCAGGCTACGTGACTCCAGTCTCCAGGTGTCCAGAGTTGTTGAGCCTGTGTATGCCACAGCCTCAGATTGCTGTTATTGGCCGACAGGAGTGGAACATGATGTGGTCCTCTACTGTTGTAGCCTATCGACCCTCACCACAGCTCTCAACTCCAGCCAGTCTGGCCATGCTCCTCTGACCTCTCTCATCAACAAAGCATTTCCGTACTCAGAACCGCTGCTCACTGGATGTTTTTTTGTGATGGCACCATTCTGAGATAAACTCTAGAAACTGTTGTGCATTTAAATCCGTGGAGATCAAACTCCACCTGATACCAAAAATCACGCTACTTTTGTAGTTGGTTGTTTTCTTTACCTTAGAACAGGCCCTTTATATTTAAATACTTGATATTTACATCAAGGGGGTCCTCTCTAAGGAGGCCGTCTGGACAAACTTAACACCTATTGAGTTTTATGACAACTGAAGGCTGCCACAGGTTCTCTTTCATGTTTGGAAGGGGAGGGTTAGGTGGGGGGTGTTCAGCTGCAACATGCAAATTTCACCACTAGATACCACTAAATTCTACACACTGTACCTTTAATGCATGAATAAGCAGATGTGTGGGGGTTCCTGATAAAATGGTCAGGGAGTATATTTTACAAGTTGTCCCCACTGGAGCTGAGTTTCACTTTAAACCAGGTGTTTCTTACATGTTTCTCATCAAAATGTTTCAGGAATAGTCGGGACACGGGAGAAGGTGAGCTGCTGAATAGAGTGCAGCCACCCTGTCACATCTCCATCGAGACTCTATGTTTCCCAAGCAAACATGGGAGGCAGCCAACACAAAAGGAGGGGAGGAGGGGTGCAGAGCAAGCATGCACAAACAGGACTCCCAGTGTCACCTGTGTGGTTTGGCTTCAGAAGGTAGAGAAACCCAGAGGACAAACCTAACAATTTGCTCTCACTGACAAAAGCCACGCAGAGTAAGGAGGAGCACTGAATGGCGGGGGATGGGCGGAGGGCCGGTTGTAAAGCCGAGCACGAGGGACAGGGCTGATTGTTGTCCTGCCCAGCATGTCAACAGTTGGATAGTTTGCATGTAAATATTAGATCACTGCTGGGAACCAGAGGAGAAGGGAAATGGGCATGGACTGGATGCCAATGGTGACAACATTGACTCAGCTAACTAGAGCTTATCCTGACAGCCTGTTGGTCACAGTGTGTCAGCAGGGGATCGCTCTTCTTTCAGTTACTCACATCATCATTACCAAGACAAATGTAATGGACAAATCAACTTGATGGTTGCCTGCTGCTGAACTGAAATAATACATAGACACAGACACATACTTTTAACTATACTTTTACCTCCGTTATTCTATGCACAGCATGATTTGGTTTCAGGTTACGTTTTCCTTCATTTTAGTTTAGTATTTCCACACCCGCTTACTTTTACTCGGGCCACTCTTAAGTGCTTTTCTTGCCCTGTATGTGTATTTTAAGCTGCTGGATATTTTAATTTCCTTCGGGATCAGTAAAGTACCCACCTTCCTACCTACCTACCTAATTATCTACTTACAGCCGTTATACTGTTTGCATCTAATTCAACTTTGTTATTTCCATATTGGAAACATTGTGACGAAGGGAGATGACACGCCCAAAAAATTTATTTTAAAGCTTTAGTGGACACCTTGTTAATTGTGACCCTTTGGTCCCTAGAATGGAAGATTTTTTGTTTATTTTTGAGATTTTAGAGCCATAGAATTACCTAAAATGTTCAGCATGTTTATTTCTGGTGTGTTAGAAATGCCTCAAAGGCCAAACTTAGACAATGTGACCCCAACAGTCTAAGAAAAAGCAGATGACTTTCATGGATTTTTAATGGAACAATTATCTAATTATCTAATTAGTAATTATCTCAAGCTAAAAAAAAAAGAAATATAAAATAAAAACCTATGCAGCTCTTGAGTTATGTAGACTGCAATATTGAGCTAACAAGTATAAAAGATCATTGTATTATTGATCATTTCCTTGAATATCAAAGAATCAAAATTATTTTAACTAATGATGATTTGATGCCAACATCTATACTAAAAGAATGGATTCATGCATTTAGATTTTTTTTACCGTCATGACGTTGTCCAGGGTGAAGCCAGATTTCTCTGTGCCCAGTTCAGCGAGTAGCTTCTCGAGCAGCTCCACCCGACTCTGAGCAATACGAGGGGGGGATTTGAATTTGATGGCCTTCACTAGGTCAGTGGGGATTACCTGCAGGGCCCGTACATCCTTCAAAACCGCAATCTCCTAAAAGAGGGACACGAGAGAGAGAGGATGCTGACTTTAAAATTGACTGCAAAAACGCATCATTGAATTAAATGATAACAGACGAAATATATCCGTATAATTGTACTACACACAATGATTTGTCTTTTAACACAAACATCTGGCAGAGAGACAAGTTATGATGGAGACCACAATAAAAGTATGACAGAAGAAAGCTCCCTTAGTTGCTGGATATTGTACTTTCATCAGGTGAGTGGCACACCACACACTTTACACCATCCAGTGTATCATTCAGCGGATTGTATGAGGGCATGAGAAAGGATGCCATCCTCTTTAGAGCATAATGACCCCTGGATTGAAACAGAATGAGATCGAAAAGAACGGGAGGACAGTTCTCTTTGCTTCCATTACTGAGTATACATATAAGTACTTTTATAGAATATAATTCAGAAAAACATTATAAATGGCAAAAATACATAGATCGATATGGCTTAAACGAAGAGAGAAGACACTTTGTAGTCCCTGCACAGGGACAGGGGAAAAAAAACAAGAAAACGCAGAGCAAAACATATCACCTCCACAGATGGACCAACAATAAACTACCCACCGACCTACAGTACATACAATGTAATACAAAGAATATCTAGAATTGGTGTCACACACACATGAAACATTTGTTCTTGAAATAAAATGAGACGTTCGGTGTTTCAATCGTTGCTCTAATTGAGGTCAGTGCAGATTCCAAAAGGCTGAGCAAAGAGAGTTAGAAATTTACATTTAACTCAACTCAAATACATATTTACACAGTTAGACACTTACAGCACTTACAGTGCAAGCTCTGCACACAGACAAAGACACACACGCACAGGAAAGTGCACAAATGACTATCACCAAGCTACAAGGCAGCAGTCATGGCAACAACACGGAGCTTGTTTTAAGCCAGGGGCACATCATGTTGTAAAGCCAAACGGGAGGGACAGTAGTCTGTGAAGCTACACTAAAGCACAATGCAGGCAGTGAGGAGTCCATAAACCATTTCATGTTCCGAGGAACAACGTAAGCGAAAGTCACTTTTTTAAATAAACAAAACAACACGGTTATTTAAACAGTGTGGGAACATTTTTATTTGCATGTAACAATCCTGTTCAACAACTAACCTAAAATAAAACCGGCCTCAACCAACCGGTTAAGTTGCAAAAGATACAGTCACTATCTTAGAGCACTGAATAGCAGCCAACATTGCATAATGTAATAATTCCACATATCATCTAAGCTAACCTTTTAAGTAAAAAGAATCATTTTATACAACTAGACCTGTGTACATTTTTGTGTTACAGCCAATAATGTGTGTTGTGAGATTATGTTGACCTTGAGTCCTAATGAATATTTGATAAATTAGATTTTTTTCCCTCAAAAAATTCCTTAAATATACCGTTCAAGAGAATGGGGGAGGGAGGACAGATTGTTTCCAATAATCACAATAAAATAATTTCTAAACACCATCAAACCTCGTCCATAAAACCATGGCCATAATCTGTGTTTAGATGCTCAGTAGAAATACAGAATTCATACATGTTCAGCCAAATAATGTATTTCTCCTAATAATAATAATAACACTTCCATTGTGTCAACTGCTTTGCTCCACTTTCAAGTGTTTGTATCCTCTGTCAATATTATTCATCCTGATGTCACTTATATAACCACTTTACTGAAGTTTGCTGACTTTTGTGGTTGTTTGTGGAATGGCTCAGAACAGGAACTCAGCCTCAGGTGAGGGACATCCTTTCACATTATTCTCCAGTGGTTATTATCCACTTTTAAGACAAAATCTCTAATGTCTAAAATACTGTGCCCATGGGGGAAACTGTGTTCTTTAAGGGTAGCTAAATGTTAGCTTAATAACAATATTAACAAAGATAGTACATCATTTTTAAATTTTCTGGACCAGAAGTGAAGGTATATGCATCAGTGCAGTCATAGGGTCGTATTATTATTTTTACATTATCCTTCTCTCCATGTACGAAATGAATGGGGAATGGAACTTTCAGAGAAGGACGTGTCCATGCACCATTGTCTCACTCAGTTAAATTTTGTAAACACTGTATGGTATTAATGTGTTTTATTAAGTAGAAATTAATATCAACAATTCACTAACACAAATTTCTGTTTCAGATTCAAGAAATTAGACCATGACCAAATACATCAGGGGCCTCCACTAAGCTGTAAAACAGAAAAAAAGACTTCTTAACATTATCAGCTTCATGAATACAAGAGAGGATGGATGGAAACATCAATTGCTTTCCCAACCGTCACATTACAACTGCTAAGGAGGCAGAGGTCAGACTGACATGAAGCTTAGCATTAACTGAACTGAACATGGTGCCAAATAAACAATTCAATTCCAGATTGTTACACTACCTGTATGAAGGCAGTGACCATGGCCCGGAGGCGGCTGGCAGAGTCTCCAGTTCTGGCCAGCAGGTTGGGCCAGGTCTGCTCAATGCAGTAGATCACCTCAGACTGGCCTAAGCCCAGACCTGGGATCAGCTGGCTCAGTATTAGCCGCAGCAGCTTGAAGGAGGCCTGGAGAACCTGAAGAGACAGGCAGTGGACATTTAACTCAAAACTTAGAAGACTTTCTAAGAAACAGCTCGCACCAGGGTGGTGTCAGCTAGCAGGACTAAGCAATGTTCAATTCAAGTTGGTTGGAGAATGCTGATGGAGAATGGAACCTGTTGGAGCAGGTTTTTTGACTTAGTTACAAGCTAATGAGACATTTAAACATGACAGTGGAGGATAACTTGTTTCTATTACCAGCATATTATCAGTGTATGTATACATTTCAGTTTACTGGGTAAATTCAGAAGTGCAAAGAAATAAAACACCCTGGACTACATTTGGACCCAGGATGTAACTGTGTGACATGCAGCCTGAAGAAGCCAGAGAAGAGTTGTGTTAAACATGAACTAGAACTGAAGCACTTTTGTGAAGACACAAAACAGTTAACTACTTACTGGATCATTCTATTTATCGGTGTGGCAAAGGAAATAAATCAGGAGAATTATTGCGGCACTACCCATTTCATACAAGCTGCAGATGACTTCCAGGGAGGTTACAAGGCCATCCTTGTCAAAACTGTTTGTTTAAGGAAGCCAGCTCTGGGAGAGGGAGCTGGGCTTGCACATGGTACAGGGGGAACATTGTTACGCGTTTGCATGTGTGATTGTGTGCTTATATTTTAAAAACTTGAATGTTAGTTCTGTTCTGTAACAGGAATCCAGAGAACATGATTTATGGAGAATGTTGATAGTGGCCAAGCAAACATATCCACTGCTCCTTGATAGGAGTTAGGGATAAGCCTTTGCTTTCAAAATATGTAGTAAGTGGAGAATTGTTGAGGGTTCATATTTTCACTATATTATTGATTGTTCGCTTATACATGATTTCTGGTATTTCAGGAAATTTATCTTATTTTTCTTAAACACTGCCACTCGGACCTGTTTTCTGCATCCTGAGAGTTCACAGCAGGGAACCTTGTCCCCTACTCACTGAAGCCAATTAAGGTGATATTGTTTGGCACCAGCAGGGATATCAGATTAGATCCTTAGATACTGGACATTGGCACCTAAATTTCACATTTGATCTGAAAAGTTATGGAACTTAAGCTTCTCACTGAGGGACAAACAATTCAAGTTTTTCATTATCTGGAACCCCTTCTGGGACTACATTAGGGATGACGGTGCCCAGGTCCTTCTGAGGGGTCTGTCTTGTCTAGCAGAGCTCAAGGTACAGTCACTGTTAGTTGGCTGTTTCTGATAATATCTATGATGACCCTTGAAGATACACTATCACTTGTTCCTTTTGGGCCTCCATGTTGTGTTTTGTTTATTTTGTTTTTGTCAGGGTTTGTTTGGTTTTCCCTATTTTGGGTGTATGTCTTCCTGTCTTCGCCCTAAATTGTTCCAAAACTCTGAATATCAACAAAAAAGCACTTGATAATTAATAGTTAACTGGAGCTTTCACAGCTTTCACAATTATCTTTAAAGAATGATTCACCGATGATACTTTATCCTGGAGGGCCTTCTTCGCCAGGAAGACTGCAGCTCTTATCATCTTTCTCAGCTCCTCCTTGGGGGTGGTGGGTGATACCTCCAAAAGCCTCTTGTGCACAGCCAGCAGAGCATTTTCTCTGTGGAGCCAGCTTTTGGAATATGCCAAAGCCACCTGGAAGAAAATGGAGGGTAAAAGATATCACAGTTCCTTCACCTTAACTGTTAACATAATTTGTGTATATATTTATCTGCTGCATATATATTTATTCATACACTACAGTTTTTATCCATCTGCTGCTACCTAGTCCTGTAAATTTAGTTTTAATTCACCTCAACTTTACATAATTTACGCCTGTATTACTTACCTCGAAGCACTCTGATCATTTTAATCATGCAGTATTTATCTACGTTCTTACAAAGCAGTTTTCACAGCTGTTATCCTGTTGACCGGCCTTTTACAGATAGAGATCTGCATTTTAAATATTATCAATATAACAAATGACTCATGTGTGCAGTGTGGCAAAGATAGGATGATCATCTGACTCTGCAGGTCCCCTCAGCTCTGCACGACATTCATCCTTTTGTTAGTTGATTGCTTCGGTTTTACGGCCACAAATTCCACTCTCAGCAACACAGTTTCCAGCAGCTGCAGGGAACTGTTTTCAGCAAAGAACCTCTGATAAAACCACTGGCAGGCTATGCTTTTAAAAATAAATGCCTCGGCACAGAGTTCCACCATCCACCTGACAAGTGCCACAAGATTGCAGGTGCATGAAATAGTCAGTGCACAGAAAATTGCTTTTTTAGAAAGAGATAGAGAAGAATAAAGACATGGACACAGAAGAGCTAATTCAACTTACAGAACCTCAGAGGAAAACCTGAGGTGGCATAACTTGCCATGTTTTCCCCCCTTTCTTTTTCTTACCACACTTTCTCCATAAACATCTATTGAAAGGCCAGCCTCTCTCTGGGGCTCAAGCTCTGCGCTCATCTCAGAGTTCAGTGGGCTCCTTTGAGTGTGAGGTTCGGGGGGTTGCTGCTCCGCGGGACTCCGGATGGTCTCCACTGGCTGCTCTTTCCTCTGATGGGTTGGCAGTGGCCTCTCATCATAAGGCGAACTGGTCGACTGTCATAACAAGACAACACCATTAGTATTTGAAGCTTGGAATATAAGTTTTATGCATATGATCATGTAAACTTTACTTTTCCATTCATCCATTCATTATCTACTCCTCTTATCCTTTTGAGGTTCGCTGGGGGAACTGGAGCCAATCCCAGCTGACTGGGCGAGAGGTGGGCTACGCTTTGGACAGATCGCCAATGTATCACAGGGTCAATATATAGAAACAAACAATTAAGAGTCTCAAATTAACCTAATCCCAGTCTACATGACCTTGCACTTTGGGAGGAAGCCAGAAAGCTCAGAGAAAACTGATCTACACTTTCAAGCCTGTCCATCCTTTTGAAAAATTCATCACCTTTATCCCTGATCTTTTCACTAACTCTCACTAGCATGAGATCAGCGAACAGGCCAATTGTGCAACATCGTGATTAAAATTAATGTAGACTCCCCTCTATGCAATACCAAGTTCCACCAAGTGCCAACTGGCACCCTGTTGCCTCGTGGAAGGCTCAAAGCCCTGCTATGACGCCAGGTTGTCAGCCGCCGGAGTCAGCCGACTGTTGCACTTTAATTAAATAGTGAAACCTAAACCTGTGGTAGGGCCGGTCTAAATAGGTGGTGAGTAACGCATAAAAGGCCCCTCTGGTCACAATATCCCTGTATGCTGTGTTCCAACACTACAGAGGCTTAACGCTGGACACGTGTTCCCAAACTGCTACAGTGGGTTAGATTATAACTCACTATAAACAAGTTCATTCAAGCAGATCAAGCTACAAGTCCAGCTGTCAACAACTGGATCATTCGTTGGCAAAGACGGGGTTTGCAACACCGACCATGGACAAGTGTTTTGCGTGTCTTCTGGTGTTGGATATGTTTAAATGCAGCGTAGAGATTTACACTTACATCTAACTTGGGTATAGCAGAGGGGGTGCTGGGGTTGTCATGTTGGCAGCTTGTTTTGAGGACAGCAGCCTTTGTGGCTGACTGCTGTTTCTGAGGTGTATTCGCTTTTTTCTCCTTCTTAAATGTGTCTGTGGACACAAGGGGCTTGGCCGGGACTGAAGAGTGACCTGGAGAAGGCAGCAGAGAGGGAGGATCGTGAAGAGAGGGTGGATCCATTGCCATTGCGATCTGGTGACAGAGTGGACAGAACAGCTCATTTAGGAAGAAAACCTCACAATCAGACCTGCATTGAACTGCACATTATACATAATCCAAAAGATTCATCCCATTTCACCAGCTGGTAACGGACCATTGTCTTGTCCAACAGGTTGTATTCCTCCAGCTGCTGATAGACACTCCTCCTGTACTCCTCCATCAGCTCCTTCTTCTTCTTGGCCAGGTCATAGTCTTCCTTATCTATGGCACATTGCTTCTCCACATCATATCGAGCCAAGCGCTCCCCCACCTGGAAGAGCCCAGGACATGTAAAGGTTAATGCAGCTCTGCAGTGACCCTATAGGCTTTCACTGTATGTTTATTTTCTCTAAATATCTTGGAGGAGTGAGTAGAGCTCCTGCTCATAGATCAACTGCATTGAGAACTATTATTTTTACAATTAGAAAAATACAGTATTAACACTGTTCATTAGCCTGCTTGGTTTTAACAGTTTTAACAGAATGTGTTTTGTTTTAAGATTATACCCTTTCATATCATATTTGATTTTTTTCCAAGGGGATATTGCTGAGAAAAAGTCTAATGGCGTAAGAGACACGAGCAGTCAGACAATCAGACAGGCCCTCAAGCATCAGAACAATAGACCCTCCAGCTACAAAAGGTTTTCTATAATATCATGCATAGCAAAGAAATGCATCCTACTCAACAGGAAACAGCACAGACCTCCTATGCAAAAATAAGGGTGTTGTCTTTCTAAGAGCAATGGAAGCCTTTATGAAACTCTGACTGCCTGCTCGGGCTACTGAACTTTGCTTTGCTTCCATACAGAAAATATGTGTATAAATGTATAATGACCATATTTGTCTTGTCAGTTTTTTTGACTGTTCTGTTCTCTCCTCTCCTTTTCTTTCAAAAGTGTTGATTGTCTTTTTTAGTTGAAAAAGTTGAAAAAGTTGAAAATTAATAAAGAAATAACAAAAACATCTAACATTCAGGAAGCTGCTCTTAAAGATTTAAGACAATTATAGAATGCAGACAAAACAAAATGCATGATCTTAGAGCCAGATCTATAAACTACAATTATTTAGAAATGTAAACCTCAAACATTTTTATGATTGGGAGAATTGCAGTATACAAATGTTTTCGGCATCTGAATTGATAGTAAACTTAAATTCAAATCTCACATTGATAATCTTGTGTGCCGACTCAGGTAAAGAAAAGAATTTGATGTTAAACATTCCGGTTGTAATTCTTTTATATAACGGAATTTTTGTCATTTTTGAGCCACATTATTTCAACTGTAATGTCTCATATAACTGTGTTTTTAACTAGTTTTCTTAAATTGCTTTTATTCAGGTAGGTTGTGAAACTGTTTATTAGTATGCACCAATGTTATTGTTTTTGCTTTTTCCATCCTCTTTTTCTGAGCTTGGAGTCAAACTCGATGTCAATGTAAATGAGGTTCGTCCCACAGTGCTGTCTCAAGTTTAAGGATTGTATGTATTTTAGAGAGAAAACAAGAGGTAAAGTAACAACACTACTCACACGCTGAGTTGTTAGCATTAATCACTTTTTACAGGTCCTCATCTGGTTCTTTTTAGACCTTTTATACTGTCTGTAGTCCTGCATAGTTTTCCTATTCACTGAGAGATAATTATTTAAGGTGTACTCATTTTCAGCCTTTGTTTTGCTTTAAAATAAAGTCACTTAGATATTCAGGCTAAATCGAGAGCTTGTTCACGACCTGATTGTCTGAACCCTCACAGTTTTCCACCTTTGACTTCAGTGTACTGTTGTCACCTTGTTCTCAAATCTCACCAACTTCTTTGGTGATCACAATGTTATTGTACCAGTATAATATCCAAGATAATTCAAGATGAAATAAACCAGATTTAACCTTTAAATCACAGAGGAGCTGCTTTCTGGCAACGACTTGAACATGACATGGGCATTTCTGTTTCACACACAATCATTTATCCCTGGAGGGAAATAAAAGTGAGTGTGCCACATGGTGAATCATCGAGCTTTACTGAGTGGAAATTTGACAGTAACTTCCAGTAACTCAAACTCGTAATTTCTTTGTGAGGAAATTCCATTTAGCTGAATTAAGTTGCTAACCAGGTGCCAAGCGACACAGTCTCAGCTGCAGTGCCTTGTGATTCCTCTCTTCTGGACAGAACTGTTGGGGCAACGTCCATGGCAGCTGGATTTCCAGCAAGGATCCCTCTCTGATTTCTGAATCCCTACTCGATGAGGGTGGACTGAATGAGGTGGAAGAAACACAGCTGACCAATACCTGGCCCTCTGTCCTGTCACCTCTCTTTGTTTGGAGATATCACGTATCATCACTATGAACCATCCCCTGATATCCTGAGGGGGCGATGACAAGGGATTTTCAGCATGACCACCTTGGCAACTGCTTTGTCTACAATGCTAATATGCCATGCTAACAAGGTGCTGGTGTGTGTGTGTTATCTGGTTACAGAAAGGCCCGTAGTTGGGTGTGGGAAAGACACTACCCAAGGACCATCAGCTGTCGAGCTTATTAAGAATTCATGATCACCATGGAAACACGGTATACAAAGAGGGTTGGTAACAGGAATCTGAACAATGTTTAACAACTACTGTTACAAACAGAGGTGAAATTACACAGGATGATTTTAGAAAAGGAGAAAGAAAATAAGATTAACAAAGTTAAGATTTGCAAGAGAAAAACCAGATGACGATATCAGGACCTGATATCATCATCTGGTTTTGGCTCAATAAATATTAACGCCTTGACCTTAAAATGCTGATGTTTTCAAATAGCTTGATCAACTCAATGGCTGCAGCTCTTCATTTGGACAGCAGGGAGCCGCAGAGCTGGGAGGGAACTACCTTCACTTTGCCAAATGTTGAAATTAAAGTTCTCAAGCTCATTCATTGACAGGTCGTATTTTGTTTGTTTAATTCGAGCAAAGTGAGAAATGTGAAGAACCTTTTTTATCTGTAAAAATTGTGTAGACCTAAATCTGTTTTCAGAGTAACATTATGTGGACTTGTCTTCTTTATAGGGACAAAAAGCAAGTCTCCATAACGTAAATCATTAAATGTTATTTAGAAAACTAGTTTTGGGGTTAACATTAAGATTTAGGTCAAGTTTAGGTTAGATTAGGGTAAGAGTTAGGGTGAGGCAAATAGTAACTAGGGTTTAAGTCTCCAGGAAATCAATATATAATTCAATGTAATGTGTGTGTGTGTGTGTGTGTGTGTGTGTGTGTGTGTGTGTGTGTGTTTGGCGTGTACTTGTTTGTCCTCAAACAGACACATTCTCTAAACCCCATTAACAATACAATGTAACTGCCGTAGATAAATACCACCACCCTGTCCTTAAAATGCTGCTGTTCAAATAGCTGGATCAACTCAATGGCTGCAGCTCTTCATTTGGACAGCAGGGAGCCGTAGAGCTGGGAGGGAACTACCTTCACTTTGTCAAATGTTAAAAATTAAACTTCTCAAGCTCATTCGTTAACAGGTCGTATCTTGTTTGTTTAATTTGTGCACAAGTGAGAAATGTGAAGTACTTTTTTATCTGTTGAAGATTTTTTCGGTCCATTAGAAATGCACAAAGACGATGAAATACCGTCACTGGAGTAAGAACACATCCTTCCTGGGGTATTTTGCTCAGGCATGTAAGTAAATATTTGGTGTCAGTGTCGCCCAGCAGCTACGGTACCTTTTGCAGGTCAGCGATGGCCTGTCTCAGATATTTGGCCTGCTCGTATTTCTCCTGCTGCACCATGTCCTGCTTCTGTTGGTCCATGAGACGGATGAGTTGAGCAACTTCGGGGTCCTGGTACATTTCGAAGGCCAGGTCGTCAAAGGGGGAGAATGACTCATATTTGCTGGTTGTGAGACTGAACTCAAAGATAAAGAAAAACATTAAACATTAAGATTAAAAGCATTAAGCAAAAAGGACACTGTTCTGTTGTGTTTATGGTAAAACATGTTGAATGTTGAAAACAGAGTCGCTGACTTAGTGGATAAATTCATTTTAGAAAATGCCAGCGTCAAATAAATGTCCTTATCATTCGAATGGGCTTTTGTTGTGCAATTCCTGATCAAAGGAGAAAAACACGGACTGACCCCCCAGGGAGAGAGACCCTGAGGTGAAGCGTCCCAAGGGGGTTGATACATTAAAGCCAAAAAAGCTTATTTCGAAATGTGTTTTCCTCTTTGCACGGGCGGCCACCTGCATTGTCTTCGAATGCAAGTGACCTTGAATGGCTTGGTTGGCTTCCACACTAAATGGCTTTGTTGAACAATGTTATTGTCACAAGACAAAGAAACCAGGGTTCAATGGCCTGGCCTCACCCCATGAAGGTTGTCTCCAAGGCAGCTTCCTGCTGAGTAGAATTGAGGTAGTGTTCGATCAGCTGCTCTCTGCTTGGCTGGGGGTAAACAGATGGACAAATTACTCACACGTGCACATATACAGTACTCTTGTAATGCTGTGCTCTAATAGACCTGGCCACTGATGTCTAATCCCATTTATTATAAGATGACAATTAACTTTACCTTCACCTAAAACTGATCATAACGCTTTTGCATATATGAGTATCAGCTGGAAAGACTTCACCAAAAATATCCCTGGACCTTATGGTGGCAGTAAGCCAACTATATTCACTCAGTCAAAACCCAATCATTAGGTAATAAGTAGAAACAAAAGCAATACTATAAACTTGTGTGCAATGTTACCTTTTTTTCATGTGCACTATTACTATTCATGTGCAATATTACCATGTTTAGCATCGTATTACGTTCATAGCAATTACTTACTACACTGAAATACATATTAGGGCTATTATCATTGTCATGACTACTTCCTATTAGGCAAAGATTCAGCAGTCACTCTGTATGTATTTGATATTGTATTTTCCCTTAGATTCTTTAATACTTTATTGTTTTATTCTATTGTATATGGTACTGGTACTGTAATCTTGGAGCAAGCTGGTAAAGGAATCCTATCTTACAGTATGTATTTATCCTTCCTGGAATTACAAACTGAAATATAGAGGAGAAAAAGCAAGCGAATAAAAGGTTTAAACTACTGACTGAAGGTGGAGTGGGGCTCAGGTTATGTCCATGTGGGCTAACCACATGTTGATACACTACTTAGTGAATTAGTCTACACTGTTAATGTGCATTGTCTTGGTTATGAGTCATTTCCTGGAACATGCACATGGTGCGATCTCATGAGCATGCCAAATGAGAGGCACACAGAGGGTAGCTATGGGTCGGTAAACATAACAACCAATGAAGAGGCCCAACAGGATTTTTCCCTGCATTCCCATTGGCCAGTACACCAGAGTGTAAACATGTGATGAGCCACCTCTCAAAGGTTTTAATGTTGAAAAAAAGTGCGTAGCTATGGGGTAATATAATATTCGCTTTAACTGTGTGTTAACCTTGCATTTCGTTGCTTTGTACTTGTGAAATGTGCAATGACAATAAAGTTGAATCGAATCGAATCGAATCTTTCAAGTAACTTTCAGCCAGCAGGTTTGTTAAATGGTCAGTGAATCACTTCTTGAATGATAGCTGGAGAGGGAGCGGGGGGGGGGGAGAAAGAGAAAGAGACTCTTATGACAGTCGAGGTTTGAGCATTTCACTAGATGGAGTTTTGATCAAAAGCACTGGTGAAAACAATACAATCAGTGATGGCTGCATTCCATTTAGATAATGTGTATGCTGGTCCACTGCCACACTGTCAAGCATTACATAGACACTTGGGCTTTTTCCTACGTCGCCAAGTCAAAACATGGCTGTGATACAGGCTTATTACTCTGCCATGTCACACTCTTGTGTCAACTAGAATGCCTCTGCTTTCCATCAACTATCATATTTTTTAAGGCTGAAGAATTCCCAAAGACAGATATATATTTTTCACATAAAATTGTACGAGTTGTTGTTTTCTTTACCTTAGATTTACTTTACTTTAATTTAGGAGCTGGTCCTCTCTACGGAGGCCACCATGTTTTATAGTCATCCAAACTAAAAACCTTTTGAGTTTTTATGACAACTGAAGGCTACCACAGGTTCTCTTTCATGTTTGGAGGGGGAGGGGGAGGGTGAGGGTGAGGTTAGGGGTGTTCAGCTGCAAAATGAAACTTCACCACTAGATGTCACTGAATTCTACGAACTGAACCTTTAATGCAGAAAATATTTATGCTCTCTGTACCCACCCATGACGCAGATATAGGAGATGGAGCGGAACCTCCACGCAAGAGCACCGGTGGAGGTGCTCAGAGTCGGATTCGTGGGGCAACAAAGCACAGCTTGTTCACTGGAATCTGTGAGTGTGTGTCCCTGTCTTCCTGTATCTCTATTTCTGTGTGTATAAGTGTGTGCATGTGTGTGTCTGTCTGTTTTAAGGTGCTCTCTCTCCTCCAGGAGCTGTCCGTCTGCAGAACTATCTGATTACACTGGCTAACTAAAGGCCTCCTGTGTGATTACATACTGCCCTCCCTTTCTGTCTCATTACCACATTCCTGACACATATACACACACACACACACACAAACACACACACACACCATTCAGGTAAACATGTATTCATATAGTGTACATATGTTTACACTTACTTTATATAGGTCTCTCCAAAGACATCTAAAGAATATAACGTGATCAATACATTCTCTCTATGGTGCTATCTAATCTACACTTACACTGAGTCAACAACTCTCTAACGAATTTCACATTTCACATAATTAAGGGGTATTGCAATGGGTTGTCAATTATATTGACAAAAAAGTGGGAAAGTATTCAAACAAGTTTGTCCATCCCCAGCAGTATGATTGTGAAAGAAAATGCACCAGAGCAGAAAAACAGGTTTTATGAAAAATAACCTAAAGAAAAGTGCACATTTGACACGTTCTGTGGTGTCAGTGAAAGGATGATGAAACTTCAATCCAGCAGTTTCTGAGTGACAGATGAAAAAGCAAGGTTTCACAAAAATCCCAATGCAACAGCACCACCTACTGCCTTTGTGCAGATGTGCATTCAGTGGTGGTTGACAGGTGAGGAGAGTAGTGTTTGTGCTCACTTACAATTGTGTCAAAAGCATTGCCATCCAAAGAATCTCCCAGCACATTAATGGCAACCAAAGCAACCTGAAATCATAAACAAGATGTTGGTGGGGTGGTTGAAGAAAACAGAGAGAAAATCCAAAATCAATGTGTGTGATTAATGGGTGAGTACTGGGAGGTTCACGGTGGAGTCATTTCACTGAAAATGGTTCTCATGGTTTTTGTCACTATCAACAAATCCGATGAAAAGATCAAAATCATCAATGAACTGATCCATCTCACAAGTATTGTCAAAAACATAATCATCTTTGCTATAAACCTTAGTTGTTAGTCAAAACTATTAAAAACACGGAGCCACATCATTGCAGTGATCCTAAATTACAATGAATAAGGGCACAGTAGTTTAACTTAAACTGTTTCAGGGAATATATTGAGTCTGGTTTAAACATTACTCAATATATTTGTGACCTGTTTTTAAATATTTAAATCTTAATCATGAACAAATGGGACTCGGAACAGACAATGTAGGCTGTGGGACAGACTGATGTTATAATGTAATGTAATGTTGTTTTACTGTAGGTCTATTCATGGGAATTGTTTACAGTGGTGAGAAAACAGATTAAAACCAGCCTTATGGTGAATACAAAATATGAATTAGTTTTCTAATGAATGATTATGACTCATTATTTCAGCACTGCTGAAAATACAACTTGTGAAGTGTGGCAATATGGTTTCAGGTAATTCATTCTCATGAGCATCTAATAAAGCAGTGAAAACACGTTTATTTTTCACGACCCACAATAATCAGAGCTGTTCATAGTTTGCATCCATCTTCTGTACCAAGCTTAAGTTACAGGCAGTGACTGTGGTGTAGGTTCATTGCCACAGTTTATCATAGTACCTGGTTGTGTTGATTGTTACTGTTGACGTGGTTCTTATGAAAGGTTATTCTCAGGAAAGTTCCAACCGCATCTACGTAGACTGACTTCAGCTCCCGAGCTATGAAGCCTGTCTTCTCATTGTCTGACAGAGGCACATACCTGTGGTGAGAGTGAAGTGTTGCTCTCAGTTCAACTCATCTGCTGTGGTACAAAACTAAAGCACTACATTATTTTTCATCATTTAAAGTCGTTTCCAGAAAGAGACAGCAGACTACACAGGTCATTTGATCATTTGAACTACAACAACAGCAAAATTCCAATCCCCTCCACATCTAGCCTCACACTTCTAGTTAAAAAATGCAATGGAGGAAACAAGAGAAAACTGAGCAGGACTCAGTCTGCTGACCCACCCAAGTCTGCGAAGCTGCCGTGGGAACCCTGGAGAGCTGGTTTTAGGGAGGGAGTCTCCAATGTGGAACTCCACCTTAGCTGGGATCAGGTACTGGTGGGCGAGAAGCTGCAGCTTCCTCACCCGACTTCTCTCCACCAGCTGGAGGGTGACGTGTTGAGGGTAAGAACACAGCCTGCAGAATATTTGATTCACATAAAGTTGAGTTTAGTCATTTTCTTTATTCAGGAGTAATCTAAGAAAAGATTACAAAGACATAAAGTTGCCATGAATGAGTGTAACCTGCTTTTGAAAGTGAAGCGCTGTATTTACCTGCTGGATCTCCAGCCAGTGGCTGTGGGAGCGTGGACCATGAGCTCCTTGGCAGTGAAGTTGTCCTCATGACTTGATGAGTTGACCACAATGAATCCTATTTTCCTGGGCATCCCTCTGAAGCAACAAACAAGAAATGTTTTTATTTTCATATCTTATATTAAATTTCTGAAGATGCAAAGAAATTCAATTAGTCACAGCGATGAACACAAAGATGATGCTGAGATGCAGGTCTCCTCTTTTTAAGGTGCTGGGAACGTCCATATTTTCATGAACGTCTGCAGAATACAGAGTCAGTTTAAACCAACTGATTGAACCCCTACTGATTCTGATCAAATAACCAATGACTGTAAGCTCAGGAAGATGGCATGCTTTTATCCAGAAGAAACCAGATTCACGTCTTTATTTCCTCTCATTTGGATGATTGCAATTCTGATCTTTTGAGGCCTTATGTCCCTGGTCTTGACCTGAGGATCCTCAGAGAGGGCCCTGCTCACTATTCCACAGTCCTGGCTGAGGACCAGAGGTGACCGGGTCTTTTCTGTCAGAGCTCCCACTCTGTGGAACACTCTCCCTGAGGAGATCCGTCTGGCAAACTCCTTATCCTCTTTTATAATCTCTCTTTGAGACTCATTCATGTAGGTGTCCTCTTTCCACTTTGTGTCATCATCAACTAGTTTAATATTTTATCTTGCTTTTACTCTTGACTCATCTTTACCATTTTTTATTTCTGCATCTGTACTGTAATGTTGCCTGATCTTCAAATTCCTTTTTATTGTTTCTTATAGTTTGATTTAAATGTTTCAGCTTGAACTTGTAAAGCACTTTACAAAGGTGCTATAAAAATAGAGTTTATTATTATCATTGTTATTATTAACGTTAGTCATTATTATTAGTGTAGTGAATGTATGTCATTTATTTGTTAGTTTACCATCAAAATGCACATAAGACAGAGAATATGTTCAGTGAACAGGACAGTGTGGTGTATGGTTCTCTGTAGAGAATATAAACTGTCCACAAAGGTGACAAACACCAGCTCCTTCACTAAAACATAGTTTCCATCCTTGTTTACATGAGCGGACATTAGCTAACAGCTACTAACACTTCACTGCTGCTAACACAGCTAGTCTTACAGCAGCTGTCTTTATCAGCTGTTCTGAACCGATGTAAATCCAGTGCACGTCCTGACAGCTCGCACACACCTCGTCCTACCTGTTGTCGATCAACACTTTGGACTAGAGAGACGCGTCCTTGCGTGTGTTTGACAGAAATCTGTCCACGGACATCACCGAGCAGTTGTCAGCTCGTGGTCCCGTCTCATCTCCATAACCACCGCTGACAACAACTCCTGCGGACACGCGCAGTGGAGGGTGTTTCACCTGTCGCAGGGGGTTGTGGGTGATGTAGTTTTATTGGTGGTTTTTGGACATAATTGCTTATTTTTCTTGGAGTCACTCACACCTCTGGTTACTTTTGCTTGTAGCTGCACTTTACCTCCGTGGTGATAGAGATCAACTCTCAGGATACGTTGTTTTATACGTTTTCACCACTACTTCCTGTTCCTCTGTGTCAGCGACACCTTAACTACCAATCAGGCGATGATAGCACAGGAAGTAAAAAAACTGGTTACCAAAATAAAGGTAAAACGTATAACGGTGCTCTCAAATCCCTTTAGTTTACTGTTTGTGTTGTTTGTGTCATTGACTTCATTCTAAACTCATTGACTCTGCATGGTACATTTCACACCATAAGGGGAGAACGACAAACAATACTATGATTCCACAGGATTTCTATATGAATTTAACAAACAAGTAAAAAGTATCAAAAGTGTTATCAAATGTACAATAAACCTTTCAATTAGCAATAAGAAACTGTTCGGCCCTTTTTCTTCTCTTTTCTCTCCTCTATATTTATGTTGAATATAATTCTAACATAACGTTTTTCTAATATTTATTTATCTACATGAAAATTTGAACATGCACATTTGTAAATAAACAATTTAATGTATAATTTTCCTTTCATACTAAAAACATACTAAAAGTAAAGTTACAAAGGGACTTTCAAAAGCCAATAATGCTGTAATTAAAGGATTCTCCGGGTGATAGTCATTCTCATCACACTTACTGAAGGGATCGTTTTTTATTTTGAAAATGGAAAGCGGAAGTCTCGTGGCCCTCAGTGTTCACCAGAGTCACTGGAGTGAGGCAGCATGGATGACATGGAGACCTGGCCAGAGATACAGAAAGCTGCGACAGAGAAGAGGCGTGAGCTGGTTTTACAGGGTCCTGGTGTGGACACGAGGATTTCCTCTCATGGCGGACTCACCTCGTCCATCTACTCCCTCACCCTGCTCAACTACCTGGAGGTGAGCCAGTGTCCGAGTCTGACAGAGATCCACGAGGAGATCCGGAGGCTGACCCACCTACAGAGCCTCATCCTGTGCAGGAACAAACTCGCCGCCTGCCCGGATGCCATCGGCCTCCTCGGGTCCCTGAAGGTCCTGGACCTGTCGGTCAACAACCTGCAGGTTCTACCGGAGGGCATCACCCAGCTGAGCGAGCTGAACACCCTCAACGTGAGCTGCAACAGCCTGGAGGTCCTGCCCGCCGGCCTGAGCCGCTGCACCAAGCTCTCCACCATCAACGTCTCCAAGAACCGCATCACCCGCTTCCCCGCGGACCTCTACTCGGAGCGGCTGGACCTCCTCAGCTCCCTGGTGGCCTCCGACAACTCCATCGAGGAGCTGAGCGGAGATGTCCACAAGCTGTCCGCTCTGAAGGTGGGCCAAAGATCACATCCCCACTCTTTCCTGGGTGCATCAGTGTGACGCCGAATCCAAGAGGAGCTGTCTCTTGTTTTGTTGAATAGCTTTAATTGTAGCTGACGATGATTTACATGTGGTAATATATAATGTATTCCATAAACTGTAAGATCTTTAAACACAGTTTGGTGGGTAAGCCCACACCAGTGACTGGAAAGCAGGGCAGGCACTGCAGGGTGTTACATTGGGCCCCAATCTGAGAGGAGGCCCCTGTAGGGCTGTCACTTTTTATTCTAAATCTCAGCATTTATTCAAACCTGGGAGGGGTGATTATTAATACTGGTTAAAATCACTAATAAGAGAATTGAAAACAAACATGGGAATGTCTGTTTGTGCATACCACCTACTGGCCCTTTCAGGGAGAACCACCTTGTTGGTGTTTGATGTATTGAGTCTACGCAGGTGGAGACATGGTTTTACTCACATTAGACACTAAAGCTACCAAGTAGAATAGCAATGTGTCATCGATGCAGACACAAGCAAGTACACAAACCCTGGCATCACACACGCACACACATTTAACTGTATCACAGGGTGATACAGTGATACATTAATTCAGTGCAAACTGGAAAGGATGTGCGAAAAGTACATCGTACTGTACAGCCCTGAAACTGTAATGACCAAATTCAAAATATACCATCCTGAAGTGCATCAGACCGTCTGAAATAGTTTGCCGTGTGATCCAGCAGAGGGTGCTCACCATCAGCTTGACCCATTGCATGCCCTCTTGACCTATCAGTAAAGTAAGTCAGATACCGTTCGACCTTGATTTTTGGAAAAAGCGAAAGCCCTAGCTTACCTTTGTTAACAGCAACAATTGTATAGGGCCCCCCCTAATTTTTTTGCCTGGGCCCCCCAAAGTTCCTTTGACACACCCCTGCTGGAAAGTAATGTATCCAGGCACGCTTAAAAGAAATATTCTCTGGTCTGCTGTTGTTTATCCTCACATGGTGCTAAACCCAATGTGCGGTTGGTACTTAGGTCTTGCCCTCTTCTTGCCTGTCTTCCCAGGTTCTGGATCTCTCTGGAAACAAGCTGAAGGAAATCCCGTTTGATCTGAGCGACTGCCCCAAGCTGAAGGAGATCAACTTCAAAGGCAACAAGCTGAACGACAAACGCCTTGAAAAGATGGTCAATGGTTGCCAGACCAAGTCGATCCTCGACTACCTCAGAGGAAAAGGGAGACAGGGAGAGGATGCAGGTGATGCGGAGGGCGGACGCAACGCAGATAAAAAGAAAAAGCAGCAGCAGCAGAGGAAGAAAAAGGAAAAGGTGGCAGAGGAACCTGATGAGGTGGAAGAACTGAACAAGATGGTGGTGAGGGTTCTCCATGTTTCGGACGCGCCCACAGCACTGACGGTTAAAGTGATGGCGGAAGTTAAGGATGTTCGGCCCTACTTGGTGTGCTGCGTGGTCCGAGGCATGAACCTAAAGTCTGGGAATTCTCTCAAACGGTTCCTCGTGGCTCAGGTAAGGTCAAGACCTTCACACAGTGGGAGAGCAGACCATGTTGACAATAACGTAAACCAAAAAGACTTCCCTGTTGTTTTTCTAGACAAAGCTTCACGACGATTTGTGTGGTAAACGGACCACGGCAACCATCGCAACTCATGATGTGCAGCTTCTCAAAGGTCCACTGACATATGACGTCAAACCCCCCACCCAGCTAAAGGTATGCAGATGCAGAAATACTAGTTCATTATTTTAAGTGTTCAATCCAGTTTCGAGAAATCAAATCAAATAAACAAAGAATTTTAGTGACAGAAAGAAATGTCTGCTGGTTCCTGTGTTTTAAGTTGCAGCGTGGTGCATTGTGATTGTCACTCAAGAAGATAATGTCTGTTAGATTGTATCACTGGGCCGGAAGGAGATGACGGCGGTCGAGCTGATGAGACACCTTCACCTCGAAGCAGAGGAACTGAGGAAGCAGAAGAAACGACAGAATGTAACTGGCCTCCACAAGTAAGTACAACCGACAGTATGACACACAATGTTTCTCAGCAGTAGTTATAAACCCAATAACCTAAACGCACTGTAAGGAATCACAAGCTTATTAATCAAGCATATTTATTCTGCAGGTATATCTAATCACTACGTATTTAATAGAAACCTATTTAACATTATTGATCTGTCAGTGGTATTAAAGTAGTTGCCAGTGATATTTGACATGACTCATGAAATCATCTTCACTTCAGTGCTTTAAACACTAAAGCTACTTTCAGACATGCACTGAACTTCAGAGATCCTCGGTAGTTTATGCGGAGGACGTGTTTATGTGAACGCAAATGTTGGAGCGAGAGCCTCTGGAGATGTTGGAGACGTTCTCTACTTGGATCCCTCGTATAAAGTCCACAGAACGTCCTGGAGGAGTCGATGTGCGGACACGCCAGGGGATCCACCGCTGGATTCTCTGAGATCAAGTGGGGGAGTTGGTGACGCTTCTAACACGCAGCGTCACCAGCTCTTGTGAGCACGACTGAGCAGAGACCTCCCACTGTGATAAGCAAACTGCGGATTCTGTCCAGACCCAATTCTCCAGAAGTCCTCCTCAGGACATGTCTGAAAACGGCTTGAAACCTGCCAAATCAATGAATCTTAACTGTGTGTGACGGCTTCCAGGCCTGCCAGAGCTGGGGAGTATTTCTTTTTATGCTCTTGTCTCTGTCAGCCAGTCTCTCAGCTATGTCTTTTTTTTACAGATACCTGCAGCTTTTGCAAGGAAAACCATTCTATCCCTGCCTAGTTGACGCAGAGGGACACGTCATCTCATTCCCACCTATTACCAACAGTGAGAACACCAAGGTGTGTGTGTGTGTTTTCTTCCTGTCTATCATAAGAGGGCCTCCCCCTTAAAGAGGGTTTCAAGTTTAATATGTTCATACAGAGGGAAAACTGACAATATTTTATTATATACATACATATGCATGTATATGCTTGCCTTATGTGCCACATATTTTTACTGTTGCCCCAAACCTGTCAGTGTCTTTTCATGATATAATAAAATGAATAACAGGATAATGTGATTGTACTTTACAGATCAAGAAGACTACCAAAGAGTTGTTTTTGGAAGTGACAAGTTCAACCAGCCTTCAGACCTGTAAAGACATTATGGATGCTCTGATCGTAGTAAGCTTCTCCTTTACTCTCTCGCTCTCTCTCTCCTTCCTCTCCTCATTAAAGACTGAGTTTGACATAAACACCTTGGTACAACTTGGACAAAGGCAAGCGACATCTTTGACAACATCGGTATAAAGTGTGGATCTGAGCTCATCAGATTTGCAGTGTAGTCTTTTGACAGAGGGTGGTGCTAGAGGAACGTCTGGTGTTCAGTAAAGAAACCACAAGAGGAAATTTTGGTTTTCATTGCAGCTTCCAGAAGAAAATGTGTTTGTCGTCTTGAGATCTGATCACTCAGACCACATTGTGGGGGCGGAATGGGACACATGTGGCCACATTCTTCATTTTCATATAGAGCAGGAGACACAGACGAACTTAATGCTGTCCACTTGTGATTGGATTTCTCAGGACGGATGTTATTACCTGTCTGAACAGGGCTTCGTGCATCATTTTAAGGAAATGGAAAGAAGCTTATGAAAAGCAGGACTTACCCTAAGATGTTGATACTCTGCTGCAGTTAGAGCAAGAGCAGATGTCATCTAAAAGCTCATTAGTGGATGTGTTGCAGTTTCTCTAATGACACTGATATTCCTCTATTTATGTGCTGAGTGTAGTTTCATTGCCTTCCCACACTGACAAGTATAAAGAGAAAAGATTTAGAGTGAACTGATGAGAAGAAGTGAGTTCCCCACATACGCAACCTTATAAGCAGAATACACAGTGTTAGAGTTCTGCAGTACTGCTCACACTACAAAGCTTAATTGACATGGGGGTGCACAGAAAAAACTAAATTCATTCCAATCAATATAACTAGATACACATGTCCATACTAATTCATTCACACTGTTCACTATTTTGGACCTAGATCTCAGAAATGCAATGAAATCAAATGTAATGTATCCAGAACACGGAGAAAATTAGTGTTACAGTCTTATAGAGGCAAGAAAACCCAAACCTCACACGGGCGTTTAAAGACTGTTTTCTGTTTCATCTCAGAAAATGGCAGAGTTAAACAAGTTCACAGCAGATCATCGGGAGGAGGCGGGGTCAGACGTGGAAGGGGAAGGCCCCACCGAGCCGGCGGAGGCCAGCGACAAGGCCTCCAGCGAACTGATCGTCCAGCAGGTCCGAACCGTCGACCAAGACGGGAACCTGAAGGTCGTCTACCCATCGAAGACTGACCTCTCCTTCAACGACATCAGCAATTTGACCGTCGTGTGGTAGTCGTGCTGTTGATAACCTGCGATGTCTGTATTTAAAATGTGTGTGAGTGTAATCGGATTTGCAAATCTATACAAAGGAAAATCTGAAAATATTTATTCAGAATCCATGTGTGTTATTGGATTTGTACATTTGTAAATAAATATCTGCAAATACGTATTCAGAATTTGTTTGTGTGTCATCGTTTGAAAATGTGTAAAGAAAATATATTCAAATAAGTATTCAGATTTGCAAGTGTATTAATATCTGTAAAAATATAGAGAGATTAATGGCTTAGTATTTTGCCTCAAGAGCTGAAAATACTGACAAGTCATCAGTTTCTGCTCAATATGTTTTTTTACACGCGAAATTTGCTACACATCTGCTGTGGCAGAGCCGCAAATGCGCAGCAATCCGCAAAAAATATGTGTCGACATTTGTCTTTTCAGCAGCTAAAGCCTTAATACCACTAAGCTGCGGTAGCCATTAATCTCCGTGTATGTTTTCACAGATCAGATTTACAGATATAAATACACTTGCAAATCTGGATACATATTTCAGGATATTTTCTTTACACATTTTCCAATCTGATTAAACACATGGATCCTGAATTCGTATTTGCATATATTTATTTGTGTACAAATCCAATAGCGCACACCCACGGTTTTTGTACATATTTCCAAATTCGATTATACACACACAGATTTTAAAAACAGATTTGAAGTTTTTTTTTTTACTACACATTTGGAAATCTGTTTACACACATTCAAAGTACAAATGTGTAGATCCATGTACACATGTAAGAGATTCTTTTTCACATTCACAAATCTGATTACACACAGAGGCACATTTACAACATGAAAAAATGTAGGGTGAATTTGTTTTTTGTTTTTTGACAACTTTGATTGCAATTGTTTTCTAACCACACCAGAAGAAAGAATGGTGATATCATACTCAAAGGAGACGTAACACAGCTATTGGTGCTATTAGTGTTAGCTGCCTGAATTTGATGATCTTGGAAAATGACATTTTAAAAAGCATTATGAAATAGCTGAACATATGTCTTCCTAGAAATATCATTAATTTATATTAAAATATAAGAGTCAATTTTCCCAAGCCTAAATAAATAAACTTTACAATAATTAAAAACATTCTGTTAAAGCTGTATCACATTTTTTATCAAATCAATTGAAATTCATTCTACAGCAAGAAAAAAAAAAATTATTCATTCAGTAATTTGCTGATTGGGGCTTATAATTGACATTTAACCCTCCCCTTTCTGTAACACCACCCCCATGAAGTCATGTTATTTCCATGCTAACTTTTAGTAAAAGTAATAATAATCAGATTGAAGTTAAGATGTCCCACACTACCCAATATCCCAGATTACCTGAATTCACCCTACATGCTTTAACTTCAGGGAGCTCAGGAAATCCTGGAAGCATCACCTCTTGAATTTAAACATGTATGATTAATGTACAGCTTTTTGAACCACATGCATTATAATCACAGACAAAGTCCTTTTGCCTCTAACATAAAGCTTGATTAGTTCAGACATTGTCTAAATACTCTTATTTTTGTATTATTGACAAACTGACAACAACTTACTGTATACCGAGCATTGATATTCACATTACTAAAGGATTTGTAAAGCTGTTTATCAACACCTGGTATTTTCCCTCTAAGCAGCAGCAGTTCATGTCTGTATGAGGCTTAATAAACTCTACTTCTGTTTTCACTCATTATACAGTATTTCAAATGTGTTTTGTCAGCAGGATTAGGCACAAACAGCTGGATCCATTAAATCTTTGGTGCAGATTTAGGATTGTTTGTCCTTGGAGGAGCTATGTGCTGTATACCGAGTGTGATTTTAGTTTTGTCCCTTCCATTGTAACCAAACACTTCTTCCAAACAGTCATAAACTGCATCGCTTCCTGAGCAGCAGATTTGTGTGCTTCTGATCGAATAGTCTTCTGTTCTACATTTCTAAAGACATTTATTTCTTTATTAGTGGGCATTTTAAGCATATTAAAGTGTCTACATGTACACCTGCCTACTAATACGAATACTTGTTTTGCATCCCACTTAAAAGACTAGTTCGGATTTTTTCTTGTTCAGGGCTTTATGTCCTGTTCGTGTCAAATTTATTTATAAAGCACAATTAACAACCAGAGTTGATCAAAGTGCTAAATTAAATGTATTGCAATAACCTCTTACAACCATGTTGGTATTGTAGTATACTCAGACGGTGGCACATTTATTTTATTCAGCATATGTTTATTGTGATGATGTAATTTTTTTACAGTTTACTACTGAGGAGTGACCACAGGATCTGCAAAAGAAAAAAAATATTAAATGAAGAACAATCATTCAGCTATTGAACCACTTTTTTTTCCCCACCACACAGTTGTATTATAGTCTCTCTAGACACAGCTACTTACATTCACACCGGTAAGCCACCTCCAGGTACTTGTAAATGCCTCCACAGGGGTCTCCAAGCACTTTGTTTCTTGCAAAGACAGAACAGCTGTTTTTCCCGTTACAGCTGTGGATGCAGAGGAACAGATGTGTTTTGGAGGTGATGAATTTTCATATCTGTTGTAAAAGTCTCTCCATCTGCAAATTATTATATTCTATTTAGTGAAAGCTGAACAACTGTACCTGTCAGCAACTTTCTTAGTGGAGCCGAAGCAGTCAACACGTCTAAGCTGAGATACAGGCCGCATATAGGAGCAGGTAGTCTGGTCACGGCGTCCGTAGTCAGCTCCAATCACAAATATAACCTGCCCTGGATCTGACAAAAAAGAAAGTAGTAAAGAAAAAGCTCATCCATGGACCATAATTAATGCAAAATAGAAAACCGGTTTTAGTCTTACCACAGAACAATTGTGCCGTAGACCCCTCACATGCAACAATGCGAACTGTTAAAGCAACACAAATCCCATTAGACATCACACTCCCAAACGTATTTACAGCTTTGATAGGTTCTCATGCAGATGTGAGACTGACTTGCTGGGTCGCAGGTGTAGTTGGTCTCCAGATATTTGTAGATTCCTTGGCAGGGATCAGAGGCACGGTTTGGATTTATCTCACATGTCTTCTTGCCATCACACCTTTAGGAGAAGAGTATGTTTTCAGCACAAAGCAAAAGCACAGGAGGGTGTGAGATGACAGATACCACTCAGGCAGGTGGATCCTTCTCTGCCCAACCTACCCAGGATTCACTGTGCTTTGGTGATGAAGCATTTCATCAAGAGATAATGGTGCCAGTAGGCAATGAGCCCAAACACACCTTTTTAACAACCCAAAGGGCATCAATTGGTGGCTGGGACAGTCTCACCTGTATTTATTGTGCTTGGTGGAGAACTGGTTCTGCCACTACGTGCATAATAATTGCTTGACCTTATGCAACTGCCCATTTTCAAGATGATGCCTGGACTCATCTTTCTGGTTGGAGATGTTTTTTCCAGCCAGACAAGAAAGGAACTCATTGATGTCTCTGCAGTCTTTCCCCATACAGGCATCCTATTTCTGAGGCTTTCTTCATTGAAGGAGTGCCCTTCTCTTTGAGATGTACGCAGACTGCAGAGTCTTATCTTATGGAGTTAGATGTCTTTTTGTGACTATTTAATAAACTGTTTATAGGAATTAATCAGATTCTCACTGTTCAGAGGAACAGAAGAAATATCTCTGCGAATAAACAGATTTCTCTAATTTCCAACAACATGCTCTAGTTCTAGGTATGAGGAAATAAACATTCAGTTAATGGAGATGTTGCTGCAATACTCTGCAGCACCTCTTTATTCTCTCTTGACTTCCTGGAAGATTGATGACTTCAGATTCTCCACCACAATGAGCAGAACCATTTAAATTGTGCGTCAACATTCATATCATTACTCACTCACTCCTTTTGTGGGCTTAAGTGTAAGTAGTCTCCCACCATAACTCCCCTGTGACCCGCCCTAAGCAGTCGATACACATCATTATTTCAGCCTGTATGGTGCTTAAGGGCCTTTCCACCATGAGTACGTATTCGCATAATGGAATTGTTCACTTTGCTCATTCCTACAGTACCTCTCTGTTTATCAACTCTTATAAAAGCACTTGGTTACACTATTATATTCCGAAGCAGATGTGCTTCGTCCTTTATAAGGATGAACATGTAAATATATTTTTGCATCATGGGAAAAACTGTTTAATTTAGTTGTTTTAAATGTACCTCTCCTTGATGACATTCAGAGCGCCCTTTTGAGAACAATTTGTATTTGTAAGTTGTTGCGGAGGTCTGCCCTCACTGCAGGTCTTCTTGTTTGAACGTCCGTACAGGGCTGCCTTCACATGGATCACTCCTAAATCTGTTAACACACCAGGGGAGGAATTCAGAGAGTTCTTATAAAGAGATCAGTTTATGCTTATTGTACACAGACAGACCCTCTCAGCTTTTTTTAAACATAGTCACCTATAAACTATTAATCCAAATTGTTTCTCAAACATTGTTCAAACATGCAGAAAATTTAAAAGTCATAATTTTATGAGGTTATAAGATGTTTTATTATGATGACGTTTGCATTGAAAAAAAAAATTCGGGTTGTGACATTCGTGATAGACATTGAGTAACTTTGCAGATAAATGGCCATTGTTAATGTGCACCATCCACATTGTTTCAATGCCTGGACACTAGCTGAGTCAGTTTATTGCGGCCTCCAAGATTAAGTGTAATATTCATTGTGGAAACTAGGATATAGAAAATTCATACCACAGCTCAAGTATTGGACATCGCCGCCATTGTCACAGGTGATGACAGTCTCTGTGGAGACTATTGAAAAACAGATATGAAAGTACAAATTGAAATGTGTCCAAGGCACATAAAGAAAATAAATTCATACATTAGCACATAGCACATTCTCTCATGTGTTTACCTGTTGTCTGGAGCAAATATATTGTTGCCAGCACTGGAAAAGAAACAAAGTGTCAAAATGTCTCAGAAAAAAAACATAAGTGTGAATTACAAAGTGATTTACTTAAAATCTAAAAGATTATTAGGTTTGGATTTATTTTTTTAAAAAGACAATCTACTCCGAGATAAATAAGAGGAAAAATGGAACACACTAATCATTTGTGCCAAAAACACATTAACAACCCTGGTGCAACAGCAAGCACATGGATGAAAAACATTTTCTTCAGCAGTAGGTCAATAAGGGAAGTCAGCTTACAACCAACTGGTAGCAGGCTAGTTACCAATAACCTCCATAACCCGTCACCATTGACCACCATTATAAAGTCAAAAAAGGTTTAGTTGTAAAAGAAAATTCATTCATTCATTTCAATGGGAAAACTTTTTGACAAAATGTTGATTATTTCAGAAAGTATGAAATATATTGTAACACTCAATCAGGGTTTTTTGTGTGGATCAAAAGTTCCTTCAGGAGAAACAACTCCTCTCAGAAATAATAAAGTTCCCAGCCTCTTAATAAACAGCAGAAACAAACCCCACATTCTTCTTCTTCTATTTCTCTGTCAGGTGTGTACTCACACAGTGTGGTGCTGAGTCTGAAGTGGAGCATGGTTTCAGAAGATCCCGTCCAAGTGATGATGGTGGCTGGGACAGTCTCACCTGTATTTATTGTGCTTGGTGGAGAACTGGTTCTGCCACTACGTGCATAATACTTGCTTGACCTTATGCAACTG